TTTAAGATACGATGGAGCCTTGTCATTAAGGGCTTTGTATGTTAGGAGAAGGATTTTAAATTCTATTCTGAATTTTACAGGGAGCCAGTGGAGAGAAGCTAATATGGGAGAGATATGATCTCTCTTGCTAGTTCCTGTCAGTACTCTGGCTGCAGCATTTTGGATTAACTGGAGGCTTTTTAGGGAACTATTGGGACATCCTGATAGTAAGGAGTTACAGTAGTCCAGCCTGGAAGTAACAAATGCATGGACAAGTTTTTCAGAATCACTTTGAGACAGGATGCTCCTGATTTTCGCAATATTGCGCAGGTGAAAGAAGGCAGTTCTAGAGACTTGGTTTATGTGTGATTTAAAAGACATATCCTGGTCAAAAATGACTCCAAGGTTCCGCACAGTAGTGCTGGAGGCGAGAGCTATGTCATCTAGAGTAACTATATGATTAGATAGCAGATTTCTAATATTTTCAGGCCCAAGCACAATAACTTCAGTTTTGTCAGAGTTTAGAAGAAGTTACAGGTTATCCAGGCTCTTATGTCTTTAAGACATGCTTGAAGTTTGACCAGCTGATCTGATTCATTTGGCTTCATAGACAAATATAACTATCATCTGCATAGCAATTGACATTTATGCTGTGCTTCCTGATAATAATGCCTAAAGGGAGCATGTATAAAGTGAAGAGAATTGGACCTAACACAGAGCCCTGTGGAATGCCATGACTAACTTCAGTTTGTGTGGAAGTAGTATTCTAAAACATTCTTTTAATATAATTGCTATTTCTGAAACTTGGATTAATACTGTAAGGGGAATGGATTTTGACCTTGATGGCTATGACTTGGTATGCACAAACAGAGAGAATAAGATGGGAGGTGGTGTGGCCTTGTACATAGATAAAAACTTTTGTTATAAGAAAGTAGACAAAATGTCTAGGGTAGTAGATAATTTACTGGAATATGTGACCGTAGAACTACTTTTGGAAAAAAAGAAAAAGGTTGTAATAAGCTGTATCTACAGAGCACCTGGAGCCAGCATAGAAAAATTAATGACTGGCTGGAAGAAAATTACTTTGTCAATAAGTCATAAATTAATGTTCATATGTGGTGACTTCACTTTTTCCAGAATTTTAGAAATAAACGGGAGATTGGACATTGGTCTATAATTAGCTAGGACACCTGGGTCAAGACTAGGCTTTTTGAGTAGAGGTTTAATTACTGCAACTTTAAAGCCTGTGGAACATAACCTGTTAATAGAGAGAGGTTAATCAGATCTAGTATGAATGTGTTGATTAGGGGAAATACATCTTTGAGCAGCCCGGATGGGGTCCAGAAGACAAGTTGATGATTTAGATGAAGCAAATGTTGAGGTCAACTCAAGAGGGATCTATGGGAGAGAAGTAGTCCAAGTATAAATGAGCTCTCACAGATGTTTCTAAAGCCACTGTAGTAGTTGGCACATCCATGTGAAGCTGTTCCTAGCAACCAGAATTCTCATGTTGACAACAAGACCATGAGCCCAGCCAAGACTGTCCTGTAAAACCCCATTTTGTTTTTATGCTAAAGTGTAAATTATAAGCGTTCTACAGTTATCTGATTAGCAACAGATATGGAGCACTGCTGGCAGAACACAAAGTAGTTCAGGCATGTGTTTGGGAGTGGTGGTGTTTGAGCCAGGAGGCCAGGGGATAATAGCGAGATAAAGACAAAGACAGAAATAAGTAGACGATGAGATTTAGAGAATGGGCAGAGATCAGACAGGCACCAGGAAAATAAAAACTCTGATGTTATGATTCGTGTTCAATAGCCTTAATCAAAATAGAAACACATCTGCGCAATTCAGACTAAAGGTCAGTCTACTAGAAAATAAATAAATGTGTGTGTATGAGAAAAATGGATGAAGGGAACTAGAGAGGTTTTGGGGGTTTATTTTGGTGAACAACATGTATGAAAGTCACTTCTGGTGGCATTTGAAGGCCTAATGTGATGAGAGTTTAATAAGCCTGCAGCAGCATTTTTAACTATGGGCCAGAACAAGAAAATGGGTCAAAGTCTTGTTTCTGAACTTTTCTATCCACAGTAGCAATGTTTTAATTAGACGGGTTATCCCCAGGGGGAGAAACGAAATTCGCTCATTTTGGGATTCTGAAATGAAAAATAATCAGTGACGTAAAGGATCCCATCAGTTTGTGTTATCAGAGCTTAAACCTTGATGAACAAAATAACTTTTTCACATACAAACTGAGTCACGACGCTGAGTTTTTAATCATGAGAAAACATGACAAGAGGAAAGAAGGTGAAAGTGATAAGAGCAGAGGTTTCATCAGCCATCTGGTGCAAGAGCTTAATTCAGGCAAGCCAGGCCTTTAAATAGCATGTGTGCAAACCACATTCTAACTAAAAACAAAGACATATGAAGAGAACAGTACAATCCTGGTGCAAACCGGAAGCACATCCCTAGACAGTCAACAGTAGGCCTATGTGCTAGCAGGCTACCTGACCAGTGTAACTAATAAATTCTGAGGGAAAACTGTAAGATACAACATAGAAGTGGAGGACAGGCTGTGATCACGCTGCTCTAAAGGGAAGGTGAGGTGCTCAGTATGCAGGAGTCAAACATGTTTACCTTGCCTAATTCAAACCAGTTTTCTAAAAACCATAAAAACCCAGGAGTCAGGAATATGTTGCCACAGCAGCTAAATCAATGTATGTTTTTAGTGCAGAGATAATTATTTGACTAAGCAAAGTTGACATAAGGAAGTTTATTGTCATTGTAGTCCCTAACTAAATTCAGTTTGGCACTTTCATTAAAGCAACATGGATCGATATTTAAATGCAAACCAACATTACCAAACTGAATAAAACAACAGCTAATGTAAAATAAAAACAAGAACAGCTAAAATGCAGTAATAAAAAGCAACAACAGCATAGTGTGGGCAGTCCACTTGATTTCTCCCAACTTGTCATTTGATTTAGCATGCTCGCCTCTTCTACAAAATCCTTTCATCTTAGCACGACCTGGTTTAGCTAGTGACCATGGCTGTGTCAGTTAGAATTGTTTGCAAGTGCATGTTTTTAAACATAATGAGGCTGTAAAGGCAGGCTAGTGACGAGGTGAGCCTCTGAGTCTCTGTAGTCTCATCCACTTGTTGGCAATCGCCTTTTTTAAGACATGTAAAAACATTAAAACATCATGAGCAGGGTATTTAGTGATGTATTTTAGTATTTTATAGAACAAACTGTGGAAATGTACTAACCTTGTGTTAACCACAGACCTTATTTCAGACATCTAACTAAAAATCCATTGAAATACACTTCAGGGCGAAGGAATCAGATGTGCAAAAATGCTGACTCAGTTCTGGGTTTTAGGACTCACTACTACAGCGCTCTATGATTGTTTGATTAATCAGAAGAATAACAGATTAATGAAAATAATAAAATATAGTTTATTATGCCTTTCAAATCAAACAACATAATAGTGTTTTGTTTTGCTTTCTAAAATTAACTATCCAGTCCATTTCTAATATAGCA